ACATGAAAAAGGTAAGTTTGGAGAATACTATGAAATAATAATTGTTCCAGGAAGAGGTATGGGTATATTCCGGCACTCAAAGAAACATTATGGGTTGTCCTACGACAATGAATCAAAATGAGCTGATGAATCTTCATTGTCAACTAAAAGAAATGGAACTAAAGGACATCAATTTTCAAGATTGCATACCTAAGCATAGCCAAGCAGATCATCTTTCTCAGATGAAGACATTAATCTTGATGGGTCAGTGCTTTTTGTACTTCACAAAAGTAGATAATGCCTATGATCTATGGCTAATTCTCTCAAGAAATAATAACACTGTGCACTGTATATGGGTTTGTTTGCTGCGTTGATGTGGGGTTCGATTCTAAATGTTTGGTGCTGGTAACAGCAGAAAAAGTAGGGTATAAATGGCGTCGTGATGAGCTATGGTGCGTAATGAGGAGTGCATGCATCAAATGCCTATGATCTATGGCTAATTCTCTCAAGAAGTAATAACACTGTGCACTGTATATGGGTTTGTTTGCTACTAACATTTACATTAAAACAAAAACAAATGGGAGTTGTGAAGCTCCTGTAAATGGGGTTGGTTTTCCCCTTCTTTTATATGGGCAGGTGCCCACATACCACAATTCTATTATTTCAAGTAACCTTATTTCTGGTTGCAGGAAAATATACTTAAATGTTTCTAGAACGCTGAGGAATACACAGCCAGTTCAGATATTTCATTACCACATATGTAAGAGTGACAATATTATGAAATTAAATCCTTCCACGGAGTGCATATTTTGTAAGAGTATTTGAACTATAGTAATCTTTCACGCATTCACCTCCTGGTGGCAATTCAAAGGTTTTCTTGGCTTTGAACTGCCAGGTAATATTACTCAATTTGGTTTTTATTGATTCCACAACTAGAGCAGATGGAAAGGACAGAAGTTGGCTCTTCTGCTGCCCGTGTTCAGAGACAAGCAGATAATTAATTAAATGCATATTGTTTTTCTCCCTTTTCATTATACTTTGACAACATATAAAAGATCACTTTCCATCAGTCAAGTTTAAATGTTTCAGCATCACTTCCAAATTTCCAGCAACCTTTGTTCCTTCCATATTTTCCACTAGCTTCTCATTATGTTGGCAATGCTACTTCTGCGTTGTCAACCGTAGAAATGTATATATTCCACAACAGTGAAAGCCAAATTCTGTAAATTCTTCAAAGGCAGAATGAATTGTGCAAAAGCCATTTGATATAATAACTAACAGTACAGTCCTTTAAAAAGCAGCTAACTTGAATATCACTTGTTGTGAGATAAGTAAGCATTGGACTCTAACCTTCAGCAATCTGGATTAAACCTAAATTTTAGTAATTTCGAATAGAAGGCAGAACTCCAGTAAAATTGTGCATGTTCAGGAGACCACTGGACTGCTGCTCAAGTATTTACGTATTGTATATTAAACTATTCTAAATGTGCTATTCTAAATGTGACAGCCATTTCTTAGCCTTTAACATCCACACATTTTGGTTTTTGCACCCCTTTCCTTTTATCCTGGGAATGTATCCCTGAACTAATTTGTAAGTATTCTTTCACTTTATGAATTTGCCTGGAATGAATTTCTATCATTTTATATACAAGGAAAGGTAAAACTGGACTGGGAATTTTCTGTATAAATGAAGAAAATACCTGGGAACTTAGTAGCTGATAAATATTTTGAAAATTGTTTGACATGGAGAAGTTGTAAATGGAAAATTGGGACTTTTTCTAAAAAAACAAACAAAAACAAACCCACTGAATATGTTCACATAATTCTTGATTTGTTTTTTGCATATCAACAGAGGTCAATAAATATGCAATTTAATGTTAAATTATTGGTTTAAACCAGTATTTCTCTACTGTACTAATGCCGTGGCCCCTTCATACAGTTTCTCATGCTGTGGTGACTCCCAGCCATAACATTGTTTTCATTGCTCATTCCCAACTGTAATTTTGCTCCTGATATGAATCATAATATAAATACCTGATATACAGAATGTAAGTAAGTAAGTAACTAGAGACAAAGTTGAAGTACTTCGGGCACATCATGAGGAGACAGGAAAGCCTAGAGAAGACAATTATGCTGGGGAAAGTGGAAGGCAAAAGGAAGAGGGGCCGACCAAGGGCAAGATGGATGGATGGCATCCGTGAAGTGACTGGACTGACCTTGAGGGAGCTGGGGGTGGTAACGGCCGACAGGGAGCTCTGGCGTGGGCTGGTCCATGAGGTCACGAAGAGTCGGAGACGACTGAACGAATGAACAACAACAATTGTTTTAAATTGTTTAACTTTAATAAAATTATGAATTTGTCATTTGGGAGTTGTAGTTGCTGGAATTTATAGTTCACCTACAATCAAAGAGCATTCTGAACTCCATCAACGATGGAATTGAACCAAACTTGGCACACAGAACTCCCATGACCAACAGAAAATACTGCAAGGGTTTGGTGAGCATTGACCTTGAGTTTGGGAGTTGCAGTTCACCTACATCCAGAGAACACTGTGGACTCAAACAATGATGGATCTGGACCAAACTTGGCACGAATGTTCCATAAGCCCAATATGAACACAGATGGAGTTTGGAGGAAATAGACCTTGACATTTGGGAGTTGTAGTTGCTGGGATTTATAGTTCACCTAAAAGAGCATTCTGAACCCACCAACAATAGAATTGGGCCAAACTTCCCACACAGAACCACCTTGAATGAACAGAAAATACTGTGTTTTCTGATGGTCTTTGGTGACCCCTCTGACACCCCCTCACGACCCCCCAGGGGTCCTGACCCCCCGGTTGAGAAACACTGGTTTAAACAGTAAAATGGTGCTAGTCATTCCAAACATGATCGGAAAAGATATGTTCCAGATGGAATATTTATTTGTTTATTGTAATATGCATTCTTCTGGCTAATGTTAACCTCACCATACAGTTTTCATGACAAGATTTATTCATTCATCATCACAATCTTATAAGTTTGAGAGTCAGACATGACTAGGGCTGACATGGGATTCAAACCTGAATCCTAGGGCACATTTACACTTTAAAATTAATGCAGTTGGACACCACTTTAACTGCCATGCCTCAATGCTATTGGCCCCGGGATTTGTAGTTTGGTAAGGCACCATACTCTTTGACAGATAAATCTAAAGATCTGGTAAAAGTACATGGTCCGTGATTCCATTCCATTGAGCTATGACAGGGGGTGGGGTATTAAAATACATACACACATGAATTCATCTAACACCAGAATAATGGAAGCCCTGGTCCTTGAGTGCTCTAACTAGAGGTCAGTTATGACAAGCAATACAGCGGAATTCGAAGAGGCACAAATAGAGGGCAAAAGGGAGAAACGTGCCAAGAGGAAGGCGCGTCAAGCCAACAATGACCAGGACCACTTTCCACCTGGAAACCGATGCCCTCACCGTGGAAGAACATGCGGATCAAGAATAGGGCTCCACAGTCACCTACGTATCCACTGCCAGGACACTGCACTTGGAAGGCCATCATATTTGGACAATGAAGTAAGTAAGTAAGTAATAATAAATATAGCACTGATGGGAAATGCAGCTCATGAAATCAGAGCCCAATATTTTGAAGGCCTCATTTTTCATGATGCCACCAAAGTTACTGCATCTGTTTACTGATCACAACTAGAAATATAAACAACAATGACAGATATTGTCCTCAATAACCAGTGGTGTTCTGATGCATTGGCATACTCCCTTGAAACAAGAAAATATCAATTGCTACAGGAGTATTTGAAGTTATGGATTGGGTGTGTGTGCGCGTGTGTGTAAAAAATCGATCTGCACAAAATACATGGCACAGACAATGTTTTCTTGTCTAAATTCGATTTTTGCAAATGCTAACAAATCATGTTCTTGTTTGGCAGAAAATGTTCCCCATGTGTATGTACAATAAGTGAAGATTTGCATCCCCAATCAACGGAAATGCCTGGGCTCTCCAGCAAAATTATGAATGTATGTAGCCAAACAGTAGGAAATTAAGAACCCATAGATGATAGTTGTTTAAACTCTAGCCTCTAGATGGCAGAAGATAACAGCCGCAAAATACAATACATGGCTGTTCATAACAAAACGATCAACTCGCTTAATTCAGAAAAAGTATTATGTCAGAACAGTGTAAACAAATGTCAATGATAAAAGAAAATAATCTTCTGAGCTATTGTTCTACACACCAAGTGTGCTGGAATAATTATGTTATTGCTACATGTCTCCCCTGAACACAACATTCAATGAAAACCATTACTTGTGGATAGCAATTACACTGTGTCGTTTTCGAAACTTGAATATAGGTGGATAGCTTATATTTAAATTCCTACAACTACATATGCTCTTTTATTGTTAACAGTAATACATTTTAAGTAGTACAGTAATACCTTGTTTCTTACAAAGTCATCCATACAGAGCAAAGTAAAATATTATTTTCCTGACTGTAACTTCATTCATTTTCTTTCTGTTCTCATGACACAAAGATTTAACGTTTTTACACTTGTTTAGAGACCACTTTTCTCCTTACTCTCCTGGGCCATTATCTGACTTTACAGACTTCAAATGCAGCTCCTGATTATTTTAACTGTCATTTTGGCCCTCAGATCCTATTTTCCAATCAGACTTCTCATCTGTAAAATCAATCATTCCAACACCAGGCCATAAGTTAAATTACCAACCCTAGAAGAGTTCCATTTCTGCAGCCAAAGGAGAAAAGTATTTCAGGTCCCTTTTTTGTCAAGCTTAACTTCTCTTATCTGTATTTTACTTTTCCTAAACAATTCTCTTCACCTTAATAATCAACACACAACTTCTAATATTTTTATCATAAACTATTTAATACATTTTTAATTTCTTTAATCTCTTTTGGGTTATATTTCTCTTTTATAATCCCCAATCTCAAGTCATTATTTTTTAAAAACCACAGGCCAGTTTACTAAGAGATGAAAAGAAAACTTCTTACCTGGCATAAAAATCGTCTGGAGGAATAATTTCTTGAAAAAACTGTAACTGGTACAGGTAAAGTCCAATTAAGTGGCCTGCACTGAATATTGCCATTAACACACAGAGACAGCTGAATATCAGCGGATCAAATGATCGGCAACAGGACCACCATGTACACAAACCCAAAAATAAAAAGAAATATACAGCTGAAGTCAGTGATGGCAACATCATTCCTATTAAAAGAAAAAGATAAATGATAGGTTTGAACTACAAAGACAACGATTTGATGCCACATATATACATATTGATAAATAAACAATGCCTTAAAATCCAAAACAATTAAAAACATCAACATTAAACCATCCATTAAAATAACACAATCCAAGTCATACTCCAGGGCCATTCCATTCGTCATTGTGTTATTTCGTAATCTATTATTGCTCTGCTCAAATTTACTAACCAAAGGCTTGGTCCCAAAGTTATGTTTTTAGTTTTTTCCCCTGAAGGTCAGGAGGGAGGGGGCTGATCTAATTTCACTGGGGAAGAAGTTCCATAGATGAGGGGCCACTACTGAGAAGGCCCTGTCTCTTGTCTCCACCAACCTTACCAGGGAAAGAGGTGGGACCGAGAGCAGGGCCTCTCCTGACGATCCTAGCCTCTGAGGTAGATCATAGAGGGAGCTATATCTATTACATTTATAGCTCACATTTTCACTGAAAAGGTGACTGAAAAATAAAATACAGATAAAACGACAAAGTAGACCATTCATTTTCATGTGTGATAGGGGTGCAGGACTACCATTAAAGTGGGAAAACCTTTCTAGGAATCTCTAAGGCCTCCAGAAAGTCATTGTTAGCTGGAAGTTGACCATAGAATCATACTGGAGGACCTAGAAATTCCAAGAGAGTCCATATTAATAAAATCTGCCAATAATGATATCTACAAAAGTTAAATCCACAAATGTGGAGGGCAAACATTCAAATGGATACATTAAAAAAGAGAGTCAATAAAATCTATCAATAGAAAAGAGCGTTAACCATATTAAAAAGCACTTTGGCAATAAAACAAATTAGACAGTAAAGTCTTTCTGAATAAACATATTGCCTGCAAGTGGATCAAAACAACAGAGATGAAATTACCCTGTCAATTCCTGGGTGCATCTGCACTGTAGAATTAATGCAGTCAGACATCACTTTAACTGCAATGGCATAATGCTATGGAATCACAGGAGTTTTAATTATACAATTTCTTCAGCTCTCTCTGCCAATGATTGCTGGTGCTTCACCAAAATGCAACTCCCAGGATTCCACAGTATTGGGCCATAGCAGTTGAAGTGGTATCAATGCATTATTTCTGCAGTGTAGACAAGTGGCTCTCAACCTGTGGGTCCCCAAGTGTTTTGACCTGCAACTCCCAGAAATCCCAGCCAGTTTACCAGCTGTTAGGATTTGAAGGGCAAAATATCTGGGGACCCACAGGTTGAGAACCACTGGTGTAAAAAAAAACAAAACCCTGACAGGACATTCTAAATTAGTGGTTCTCAACCTGTGGGTCCCCAGATGTTTTGGCCTTCAACTCCTAGAAATCCTAACAGCTAGTAAACCTGGGGACCCACAGGTTGAGAACCACTGTTCTAAATCCTGGGCAAGATCCCATGATGTGCTTTGACAGTCAATGCCAAAAGAACCAGGAGTCTCCCTGGGATTCCTGGCAATCAACCACTGGATCATGAAGGAAGCCCTCTCTTCTGTTCCTCCCAAATGTGTCTGAGCTGAGGAGACAAAAGAGTTTATTTCAAGAAACTTGAAATGCTGGTAGTCGCACTTGAGAGAAAAGAGGCTTCACTATATCCTGATTTATAGTTCATATTTTGAAATGTGTATAGAATGGATTGGTACATGAGTTAACATGGCTATAAGGGATGGGCTGATTGCTGGGGTGTTCAAGGACTGTGTTGGTCCCAACACTGTGTTGCCCTGTGCAAGAAACATATGTTTAGTTCAAAATACTCAAAGTGGCCTCTTGTTGATTTCCATGTTTTACAACTTCTGATGGTAACAATGGAGTCTCTTGGTCTAAAATGTTCTGTCCCTCCAAATATAAAAATAATAATTAAAAAATGAACCCACATTCTAAGAGAATGACTGAGGATGATGGAGGCAAAATAAAGAGAATGTGAGGCTAACCATATAAAATAATATGGTAAGGGCCTGCATATAACCCATGGTTCACATGTTGCCCAACTCATA